AATAATAATGTATTATTATTATTATATTTATTTTTATACTATTTTTATATTATTTTCATATAATTCAAAAAAATAATAAAATATATTAAACATTATAAATTATAAATTATAAATTATAAATTATAAATTATAAATTATAAATTATAAATTATAAATTATAAATTATAAATTATAAATTATAAATTATAAATTATAAATTATAAATTATAAATTATAAATTATAAATTATAAATTATAAATTATAAATTATAAATTATAAATTATAATTTATAATTTATAAATTATAAATTATAAATTAATAAATAATAATATTTAAAAATGAATAAAACAAAACAAAAATATTAGTAAAATATACTATATGATACTACATATTAAAACAGTGAAGTAATTAAGGAAACCCCATCTATTGCAATTTTTAAAACCTATAAAGATCAGAAAACACACTTTAATTTGAATGTCAATAATTTCAGTGGACGTTACTAACATCGACAACTCCGTCACACAAGAAACGTTTGAAAAATTGTTCCAGCACTACCACCCGACGGTAGTCAAACTCCACCACCCCCATCAAAAGTTCTTTGTTCGTGTTTCTTCGCCATCTGAAGCGACTCGCATCATTACAGAGGTCAACGGGAAGGAGATGGGCGGAGTTAAAATTAGTGTAACTCTCTCGAAGAAAGCGCCGAATATCATCAGAGTGTCCGGCTTTGCGCACGACAAGAAGGTTTCAGACGTCAAGAGGCTTCTGAAGAATTACAACTTCAAAACAGTCAAATTGTGTAAGACAAAGAACTCGACGATGGCGAAGGCCGAAATCATCGTGAAGAAGCGTGAAATTGCGCTCAAAATAGTCGAAGAGATGGACAAGAAGAAAATTGGGGAGAGCGAAATAACAGTGAAACTCGACGACAAGAAAGAAAAGCAGAAAATTGCAAAGAAAGAAAAGAAAGAAAAATACCAAAAGAAGTTCATCAGAAAAGAAAAAGGCGAAAAGAAGGACAAAAAAGACGCAACTCAAACAATGAAGAGCCAAACCACACAAAAGTGTTTCATATGCGGAAGAGGCGGTCACATCGCTTCAAAATGTCCTGAGAAAAAACACGGAGGAGACAAAAAAGTCGAGAACAAAGGAAACAACGAGAAGAAGAAGTTCGGAGTGAAGAAGAATGAGAAACAAAGTGTTAAAAGAACACTCACAACAAAGAAATTTGGCGCGAAAAAACAGTGAAATTGAATATGAGGTATTTTGACTGAAGTTTTATAGTATTTGGTTTCTTTCTTTTTTTCATAAAGAATTCAAAACACGTTTTGTATTCTTAACCTTACGGTACTGTTAAAGTTTTAAATAAAACACAATTTTTTTAAACTTGATATGATATACAAAAAATTACTTTGTGGCGACTCTTTTGAAACAAAAACAACAAGCAATAATTTATAGGTTTTCCTCTGTTCTTCAATTTTTAAAAATGTTTTAATCAAAACACTAACAGTATTGGCGTTTTCATCAACAATTTTTTTTACCAAAAAAGTGTTTTATAAAAGAAAAAACACGTTTTGTATTTTAAATAACTTAGTCACAACCAAACAGTCTGCGTTTGAAATGTGTTGTTTACTCTATTCTGTATCTTTTCTACAAACACTCAAAGCAATTGAGTTGTGTGCTTTTAAAAATTGTAAAATAGATGAATTGGCCTTTCCTAAAGTGCTCACATTAATAGGTGCAAATGCCTTTGAATATTGTTATGCGTTAAGTACACAACATCATATACGAATTATCTTGACATAGACGGTTTTGCTTTCAACTCATTGATGAGCCTCAAACGTGTGTCTTTTATTAGCTACAAAGTTCCTTTTCAAATGTATGGATTGGACAATTCACAAATTGTCAAATGCAATGTTAAAAATAACGCAAAAGTCTTAATACAATAATTCTGCCTAAAAGAACGTACTCATTAGGAAGATACTGTTTTTATAATTGTAATAATTTAACATTAATTACCTTTTTTCGTGTCTTGAAGCCATCTCAGAGTGTTGTTTTAATTACTGCAAAATGTTGAAATATATCAAAGATGGTGATTAAAAGCCACACGATTTTGTTGCGCAATTTCCTGAAGAACTAAAAATCATTACAAGTGACTTATTATGGTTAATGTTAAAATGATATTTATTATATCACCAATTAGCTATATACTTGCTTAAAAAAGGAAAAACTATAAGGGGGTTTCGTATAATAGTAGTATATCTAACATTTCGAACAATTGAAGTTTAGAAGGTATCGGGTTCAAATCCTATAACTCCCATTTTTTGTTTTTTATAATTATATTTTTTTTATATTATTTTAAACACCCATTTTCTATAATTTTCAAAATAATATAATTTAATTAAAAAAAATCAATTCTATTTTTGATGTGGTATACAATCAAAAGGGTCTATTTGTCGTAATTATAATTGTTGAATTTGCTTAATTGTCGCACTACCAGCCAATAATTTAGGTGTACGACAATTAAATATTTTGTTCTCCAATCTGTAACTTTTGTTGAATTAAAAACCAATTTTTTTATATATAAATTTTAATATTAAAAAGAATTTTTTACAAAATTTACTCATTTACGACAAATAGATACGTTTTTATGCTGGATTCACGACAAATAAACGTTTTTGACTGTAGTTCATTGTGAGTCCCTATTAATAGACACCACAAAATATCAAAAATGAATAATTATTATAATATATAATCATTATTTAAAACCATACCAATATTGACTCTATAATTGTTTCATTAAATAAAAATAGAAAAATTATTTTAAATTATAACTTTTCGTAGTAATTTTGAAGTGAATCAACAACATTTTCAACAGTTTTTCTTTCTTTTGGTTTTTGGTTCCAACATGTTTTGATAATATTAAATAACAATTCTAATATATTATCCCCATTTGGACGTTTTCCTGCAATTACAAACTCGGCTATTTTCCACGGAAATTTAAATGTATTAATTGGATATGCTTCTTTCCACCCAAACACTTCAAACATAGTAACTGCAAAGGAATACATGTCTGAACTTTTGACGTATTTATCTTTTTTCAACATTTCTGGTGCCATGGAAGTTGGAGTCCCAATACCTTTAGTGAATGTCATGTTAATCATCATCATGTTAATATTTCTTGCACTTCCAAAATCAGTCAATTTTACGTCGACTTTATCATTCGGATCGAGTGAAAACACGAATAAATTGTCTGGTTTTATGTCTCTGTGTAATATTCCATTTGGGTGTAAATAATTAATCCCGGGGAACGGAAAATCTGCCCTTTTAAAAATTGCCTTTTCAATAATTCGCCTTTTTTCGCCTTTATTTTTCAACAAAATTTCAAGTCATTTGAATTTTTGTTGAATATTTATTTAAAACTCGTTTACAAAAATAAATCAATCTGTATTATTGTATTTATTACAAAAATATATAATGTTTATAGTTAATTTATATTTATTATCGAGATGGTTTTTATATTAAATAAATAAGTATATATTTTTATTTAAATTCGAAAACTACATTATAATATAAATAATTATTAACAATATTATTATTATATGAATAACTGTAAATATATATATACTGTATAATTATAAAATGTTAATAATTGTATAATATTTGTATTTTAATAACATAAAATATTGATTATAACACAAATAAATAAATAAAAAGTATATATATAAATATTGATAAATTATACAATTTTTATGATCGAATAGAATTATTTTATTATAAAACGTATTAGGTCATCTACAATATTCAATGGAAAATAAAACAACCACACCATTGGTTATATCCGACATTCCTCAACCTCCTAAATTTGAAATGATTTCATCAACACATGGAAATCCTCAACCATACATTAATGGTTATAAATTTAGATCTGTTGATAAAAAACGCATATTATTTAAATGTGAATACCAACAATGCAAAAAACGTATTAGATTGCTTTTTGATGAAAAAGGAAACACAATTGGATATGAAGAAACTGGTTCTCAAAAGGGTCTTCCACATAAACATGACACCACTTCTTATTTTGACAAAAAGTGTACTGAAAACATGAAAGAAGAAGCAAAGAAAGAAAACTCAAAAAATAAAAGCGCCATGGAAATAGTCGCAGAAGCTTACGTCAATGGTTCTTCAAAACGTTTATCTTTATGTGAACATATAGTGCGAAGTCAAAAACAGATATCCAAAAACCCAAAAGAAATTGATCAAATCACATTCACTAACGAGGAACTTTCTTTTGTCATGTACCAAGATTATGAAATGATTATATTTGGTAAAAAAAATATTTAAATTATTTTAAAACATGTAATACAATTTTGATGGATGGAACTTTTAAATCATGTCCAAGTTTGTTTATTGAGATATATGGAAACAAAATTTTATATTAAATAATATATTATTACACAAAAATATTGAAAATAAAATATTATAATATTGTTAGATAGAAAATATTTCATTTCTAAATTTAATATACAATTTATATGTATTATTATATTAAAAAATAATATATATATA